GGGTCCTTGACTGATTCTGTTCCTCTGTGTCTTTTTCTATCCAGGTATGATTTTTCTGCACGGGCAGTGTATTTAGAGCCATTATCGTGCCACTGCCAATCACTCTTTCCTTAGTAAATCGACTTCCGTGGTGGATAGTACTTTCCTGCCTTCATAATTGACAAAATTTCCAACACCACTCGCTGATATACGGCACCAAGCCATAACACAGCCTTCTCCGTATCTTAGTTTCCCTGTCAAGAAGTCATTCCTTAAGAATGGCTTCTTGAGTTACAAGAATAAGATTCAGAATAATAAATGATAAGCTAAGCCCAAATAATCTGGCAGTGAATGTCAGTGTTTGTGAGCGAGGCAGCAGTAACACCATCTGTAACCAATTTGGCTTCTCCACCATTACAGCAACATCATGAAAAATATTCAACCCCCACAATAACCTCAGTGTCAACTCTGACAACAGGTGGCATTGTAACAGCAGCACCATTCGCCTTCTCGGTCGGCAGTTATTCTCACTTGATTTGTAACATGGTCAGGCTTCTTCCCATAACTCCCCATACGCAAAAATATTTCGAGAGGAAAATTAATTTAATGAGATAACAAACATAGATGGTAACGCTGCTAATTAAAAAATAAAACATCGATATTGTGTGTATAATACGCACATGTAATTGTTCTTTTTGGATGATTTTGCACAGTTTAGGTTACATTTAAGGATTCTCTTTTATTTTTATTTTTAACACCGTACAGTTATTGCTACTATTTTATTTCATTTTTAAATTTTCTATAGCTACAGTATCACAACGATAGTTATTATTAATATCATTTTTGTTATTACTATCATTTTGTTTTGTCTCCTCCGAATCCCATTTTGCTCCACTGCTGCTAAATGTTAGCTGGATGTTAGCAGCTAATAGGAAGTACCTACGCTTTGGTTTGGTTTGCTTAGGACTGGAAACAGTGCAGTCCAACTGCTGAAAGGTCCATTGGAAAAGTAACATTTTTAACTACCATCTAAAGTGCACTGCTTGGGTTCAGACCACTTCATTGGTTGTTCCAATGATTGCCTAAGAAAGACAAATGATTAGCCAATTAGTGCCATCCAAGCTAAAACCCAGGAAGACTAATAAGTGAAATTACTGGTACCCCCTCAGGTACCACTGCTGGTACCTATCTCAAAAGCCTAGGTGACTTCCTTCTGGAGTTATCGCAGTTACCACACTTATAGGAAACTTGACCTCTGACCTTGACCTTGAGGTTGAGGTCACTAAGATTCTGAGAGTTTTAGTACACACCTATTATGTCAACTTGAAAGTTCTACATTGCTTTGTTCTGAAGTTATTGCATTTTCAAAACGATGTGTCCGCATTGCCCGCCTACCCGCCAGGGAAACAAGGATACACTATCAGGCTTTTACAGCGAAGGCGTAAAACGGAAGAACAATAAGTAGACAGAGGTGTAATATCAACATGGCAATCATAGAACCGCCTGTATGAGCAAAATATCTTAACTTAAAATTAAGTTGGATTTATCCTTGTACATGGGTCTCTAGAGGTTAGTTAAGACTAAGACTAAATCCTGTCCCATGTGGAAATGGTTTAGACTGGAGGCAACATTATCTCACAGCATACATTTCATTTATGAAATTAATCATAATCCAGACCGACTCTTTTAGGAGCCCATTCTTGTGATTCTTGGAACAGGGTCGATAAAACAACAAAAATGGCCTTGACATTGAACAAAAACGTTTGGTCAAGAGCCATTCGTTGATCATTGTGTTCAAGTTTTCCTAAAATGTAACCAGTACTACAGGAAGAGAAGCCATTCTTGCGAGCTAAAGAATGAAAAGTTTGCTAATATTTTCATTTTTGACCCAACTGCTCAGTACGTCACTAAAAACACCAAAGACGTGACTTGTGTGGAGGTTTCATGAAGTAAAAGCAACATGAGGTCTACATGTTATTTAGAAACATTTATGCAAAAAACTAGTACAAGTAGATTAATAGCAACCGTCAGTTTTGCCCGAGTTCTAATTCGGTCACTTAGCTACAACTCCTGCTTGTTTAACGTGCATTTGCAGGGTGGAAAAACCTCACGGTGACGCTGTGAGAGCCAGAGATAAAAGAAAGCTCAAACGCACATGAAAACTGTGACCAAAGTGAAAAGATTAAACAGTTTTCCACTGTCACACAGATTTTCCTGCAAGGATAAAAATTAGTAAGCAAGCCGTTTTTAGTTTTTTCAAAGGCTAAATCGCATTAAAGCATTGATTTTATAGAGTCTCACTCATGCCGGGGGAGGGGGGTTGAAACACAGAGCCATGCTTAACAGCACTGAGAGAAAAGAAGTGTGCAGGCTCACTGTGGCACAGTATATATTGGTTGGCCCAGTGCCTCAAACGACTTCCCTTTGAGTGTCTTACCTGATCACTTTGGTGCCACCTTTATTGACCTGCATGTCCACCATACATCCCGAGTTAACGTAGGAAGCCAAGTTGATCTCTGAGAACTCTGCCTAGGAGTAACGAAGACAAGGCATGTCAAGATCATACAACGACATGCACAAACATAGAGCATTTCACAGTCCCTTTGAATCAGTGTCTGCAAGCTGGAAGAAATGTGGACACTGCGTTAGACTGCATTCAAATTTGACTTTATGTTGTTTGTGAAAAGTACCAAAAATCAACAAGATAGTGCGACAACACACTCTTTCACCTCCATTTTACATTTCTGCACTCTCATGGAAATGAGCAAAATACAGAGTGACAAAGTGAGCTGGTGAGAGAAGGCTAATTGAGTTATTCCCAGTCAGTGGCCTCCTGGACAGTGAGGGCCTTGTGAAAGGCCGTAGCCTGGCTACCTAATGACTCAGTCAAACTTCCAGAAATACTCAGAACGAAAGGCGACAGTTGACTTCTGGGAATGGACTTTGTGCATGATTGGGAGGGATGATTCAAATGTCCTTGTACTGATTGTCACAACAGCCCATAAATCTATTCATGTTTACTGCTTTGGACCAAATTTCAGAGTAGAGTAAGAGTAATTCTATCAGATTGATAACCAAGTTACTGCAAAGGATTTCTCAAGGTTTCCTAAAGAAATGAGCAAAATAGTAAGAAACTTTGTTGCAGCTAGACAGCAATGAGGAAATAGGAAATTACTCCAGTGTGTGCCAGAATACCATAACATCATTAATGGGTGTGCGCATACTTCTGACTGCACCATTCAGTGATGCTGGTCAGAGGTACATCAGACCTTCCTTTCCCCAAACAAGCTCCAACCATTAGAGAATGATCTCAGCACATATTCAGGCAAAGAAAAGCTCATAAAGAAACTCTTTGTAGACCAGAACTTACACAAAACCCAGGCAAACCTGCTAAAATGGGAAAACAACATCATATGTGCCTTTTGGATTAGAGCGTGGAGGTCACGTTCAGCATCATGCTCAGGTTTAGAAATCAATCAGGTCCAAATTTGTTTTTGCTAATATCTTATGTTTAAGGTGAAGCACGTCTAATAACCAACAGAAAAGGCTACACTTCAGAGGAGACGGGCTCCTAGAGTTGCAAATAATCAAAACCAGAAATTTTGAAAGCTGTAAAAAACTATATTTTATCATCTTCCTTCTTTTGTGGGAGTAAAAAGAAACGTGAGCTATACGTATAGCATAATACTGAAAGTAAATACTGAAATTAAAACTGCACAAAGGAAAAAGTTCCTTACTCAGTGGCTCTGGCCCTACTGTGCCTCTGATTCGCCCATCGCTCCTAAATCAACCTATTATCCTTCCTTGTGGGTGATTTATCAACCTAACCGTCTCAATACATCCCAGTAATAGGGACTGTAGGACAGGCAAGGACTTCATAAAACTTTCAAATTAAAAGTCATGTGGCAAATGAACACTGATTTGTCTCAGTTTTATTGTCTTGTTTTGGAAGAGAAATTACCGAGGTCCAGACCTTGGTGACCTAATATCTGTGGTGGGGTCAGAATTTGGCATAAACAACATGAAAGCATGCCTTGTTTGCTCAGTCAACAGCTCAGGCTGCTGGTGGTGTAATGGTGTGGGAAATATTTTCTTGGCACACTTTGGGCCTCTTCCTACCAAGTCGGAATCGTTTCAATGCCGCTGCTTATCTCAGTATTTTTGCTAATCATGCCATTCCCTCTATGACCACAGTATATCCATCTTCTGACTGCTGCTTAAAGCAGGACAATGCACCAGGTCACGATGCTCAGAACATCCTAAAGTGGTTTTATGAACACGACAAAGAGTTCAAAATAATAATTGTACTCAAATAACCATCACAGTCATCAGATCTCAATCCAATAGAGCAACCGTGAGTGGAACAGTAGATTTGAATCATGGGTGTGCAACAACTGTGTGATGGTATCATGTCCATATGGAGCAGCATCTCTGAAGGATGTTTCCAGCATCTTATTGAATCTCTGCCAAGACAAAAGTGGATCCAACCCAGTTTCTACTAAAGTTACTGCTGAGTGTATATCTACCTCTAACCATTAGACGAATGGTTATGAAGTTATGCTTAGACCTTTACTGTCAACTGTGGCATTCACCCATATGGCAAACTCCAGGACTTAAAATTCAACCACAAATTGTGGTTCAGCTCCACTTGGGCCTCATGTTCTCCCCAAGAATTCCCATAGCCTCTAATTAAATAGTAAATGGACTAGTTCTTATGTAGTTTTTCTACTCTACGTGATCACTCGAAGCAAAGCACTCTGAGTGCACGACATGCTTCATTCATCCAATTCTCCGATGAATGCCTCAGAGTATCTTGAGGCATTGCCATTCAGTAGCTCACCCAAAGACACTTTGGCAAACAAACTGGAACAGCCAGAGACCAAAACACCAAACTTTCAGTACGTAGATAACTTTCTCTACCTCCTGAGCAAGTTTGTCAAAAAAATACATTTCTGTTCTTTGCTAGCCAACATTAATACCTCTTTGTGTCGTGAATTACTCATGCTAACTAGGATTAGCTAAAAATTCTCCAGCTGTACCTTCTTGTAGAAATACATCATATCCACTTAAAAAACACAACACATATTTACAGTCATTGGTGGCCCTACAGCTACTGTAGTCAGTTATAACGAGTTGAATTGCATTATACAGCAGAAACAATATGTCTGCGTAATATAACCAAAGCTACACCCTAAATATGCAGCTCCAGCCTGTTTGTCAGACCTCATTCCTCACTCTGAACATGCTCTCTGCTTTCCCTCAGAGGAGAGTCTGTCAAGCTGTGTCACTGTAAACTTCCATCTGCCGCAGGTACAGAACGCCCCTGGAGGGACACTAAACAGCAGTCGGTTGACCTCAGACACGAAACGCTGCCGTTTGGTAGTCGTCACATCAGTTTCAAGTATGAGACATGACACTCACGTAGTGGATTAAATGGGCCCTAAACAAGTAGCCTGCTCTTTGTGGAAAAGGAAAAAGTCAATCTGAAGTGACGTGGTCGACTCTCGAGCGCCACATTTCACAGGAAACACGGTTGCATTTCCTGGTATGCTAATCCCAAGCCAGCTGTGGCTTGGCTGTGGCTCGGTGAGCAAAAATGAAATAATAACCAAGCGACCATTTCATAACCATTTCACAAAAGTGTCAAACGGAGAGCCAAGCGTTTGTTTGGTTCTCAGCTCTGCTTTAACTGCTGCATGGCTACGCCACAGGACGAGATACTGAAAACACTGCTTTTGGCTGGAGAGCCGGACCCAAAAAGCATACCTAATGCACACCTAATTGGCTACATCTGAAGCCTCTGTCAGTGCGCCCCAGGGAGGCTGTGGCTACAATGTAGCTGCCATCACCAGTGTGTGAATGTGTGTGTGAATGGGTGGATGACTGGTTGTGTAAAGCGCTTTGGGGTCCTTAGGGACTAGTAAAGCGCTATACAAATACAGGCCATTTACCATTTGAAGATACTATTATTATTATTCTGAAAAAAAAATTCTCCTTATTTTTACAATTCAAATGTTTCCCAAGGACACTCATGGGGTGAAAAACACCTTCCCACAGTGATATCTGGCCTTTGGAATAAATCCCAGCACACATGTACAGCACATGGCTAATGACATATGGCATTCAGCTAATCAAATACGTTTATGACTCGAGGGCTGACGGTTTAAATCATGGAGTTGTTAGATGCAAGAAACCTTTTGCAGCTGGTCTGACAGATCTGCATTAAGGTATGTCACAGTTCACAGCTTGGAGAAAGTTGTAGTTAACTGCAAGAATGGTCAGCAAACCATTTTTTTTTCTTTATTCACAGTGTCACTGGTAGACTGCTTTTATTCTACCAGTGTAGAACTCTTACAAAATCCCAAATTCATTACACATTACAGAAACACAATTGGGCATTTAGCAGCTAAGACATTCCCCCTTAGGTGTTGGCAGACAACAGTACAGATAAAAAAAGAGTCAATATCAGATTTAGTTTACAATTCTAACAAGCTTGATCACACACTGCTTACATAATGTTAAGGTTCGGGCTCTGGGGAGGCCAGTCCATGACTGGTAGTGTCCCATTATGTCTTTTTCTATCCGGGTTTGCTTTTACTGGACTGGAACTAGATTTAGAATCACTGTCAGACCGAAACGTGACGCTATTACCAATCAGTTGCTTTCCAGAGCAGTATTTTTCTGCATTCATTCCTCCATCACTTTTGATAAGATCATCACTGGATGAATTCAGCCAAAAACCATGACAGCCTCCACTGTGTTTTGATGGTTATACCTTTCTTTTACATATTAAAGCTGATTTTAACCAAAAAATGTAAAATGTGGATTCATCACTCATTTTCAGTCCAGTATTTGCGTAATTTAATAAACAAATAAGCTTGCATTGCGCATTGCTAGTTAAGCAAATTGGTATCTGGACATCCTCAAGCTGTGTTTTTCATCTGAGGCGTTGCCAAACTTTATTGAGACTCACACGGGCTTTCATCTAGATAAAAAGGACTATTATCAGGATGGGATAGCTCTGTGGCCCATGTAAACCTTGTATGGGGGAGTAAACTTCCTTTAAAAAGAATTTGCTGAGTAACAAAACTGTTCAGGTTTTTTTGGATGGGGTTGGAGGGGCAAGAGCGAGAGGGAGGGAAAAAAAGAAACACCCACCTCTTTTTATTTATTGTTTTGCACTCTCAGAGGAAGAGCAGGGGGCGAATAAATACCATAATCTTATTTCAGGGACAACGAGGCGCCACTCTTGCTCACTGTGCCTGAAGGACATGTATTTGGCTCTGGTGCTTTTCTCAGCTCCCCTCTTACTGATACCCATTCCCAAAAGAAACATCTGTGTGCTTTGCAGCACATGCCGTGCCAAGAAAGGCTTCTAAATGCACAACACACCCAAATGCACACTGACTGCGTGACACTCCCATGCACATGTACGCACTAATGCACCGTGCTGCTTCTAAACAAATCCCATCCCAAACACCAGGGCCTACAGTGGCTTGTGTGGCGACCTGATAAAACCAGAGAGTGGG